GCATTTTCTACGAACAGAGAGACTCACGTTCTCGTCTCTGTCAGTGAAGGACATGCTGCCATCCAGTCGGCTGTAGAGGAAGCCACGCAGGTAGCAATAGTCCATCAGAATATCCAAGATGGACGTCATCTGGCTGAAGATCAGAACCTAATGAACAAACATACCCATCAGAACCACCGGAAGGAACCAAGCTGATACAAGCAGAACCTGCTGATAGAATTTCTACTTGACAGAAACCTGTTGCCCTTCACGCCTCCTGGACATGAAGGATCTCTTCATCCCATACTGAGCAGGGCCAGGGGGTTCTGGGCCAGTCAACATGCTGGCTATTTGGTTTCGTTATGAGAAATCCAAAATCAGAAAACAAACCTTTTGATTGAAAAAAATAAAATTGAAAAACTAAAAAAAAAAGAAAAATTAGCCTATTTCTCTTTTCTTTAAAGAGCCCAGATAGAAACTAAAGAATAACCAGTTATCCGTGTTATCTGCCTCTCAATTCCAGAATGAAAAAGGGTTAGACTTCCTTTCCCCCGATTCTGCTCCCCTCTCCTCGCCGTTTTGTTATGATAGTGAGCCGGAAGCAGTCGTAGCACCAGCACAGAGACACTGCTCCATTCATTGTGTCAAAATGTTGGTATTTAAAGTTTTTATTGCCAGTTTGGGGAGAACGGGCGCATGCAGCATAAACATGGGTCAGTTGGAACATAAGCGTACTGATTTCATCACTACACACTCAGCTAGTCTGGAGCTACATTTCACCTCCTGTTATTAATAGTCTCTAGATAATAATAAATTATGACTTTGTTCATTTAGTGGGGGAATAATTAATTAAGATAAACACAAATCGAATGAATGTTTTCCAAATAAAACAAAAAACTCATTAGAGCCGATGGTCCTTCACACACGACTATACAGAGAGAGGGCTGCTGCAGACGGGCTAACGTTAGCCCTGGCTGCCGCAGACGGGCTAACGTTAGCCAGGGCTAACGTTAGCCCGTCTGTGGCAGCCAAAAAAATTTATTCTGAAAAATTCAGACCCACCTTTCGACCGCGCAGCCAGAGCAGCAAAGCTGCTTCAGCCGCGCGTCAGAACTAAGCTGGTACAAGCAGCAAAAGGGAAGCAGCATACGCGATTTTGCTGCACCTGCTGCATCCGGTGTGAACTCAGCATGAGAATCTTCCCCAGCATACGGTACTAACATTACTTATTTCAATCCTTAAATTACTATAGAATGCTCAAGTATGACTTTTCTGCGATAATTTGATGCTTTTAACATTTTCTCTGTTAAACTGCTTTTCTCACGTCATCATGGGACATGTTTAGAGCAGTCCAGCTAAATATGATTAACCGTGATTATCTGGATTTTAGATGTATCTTTCTTTAGATTACGCACTATATACCATAGGGTTAAAACAAAATGAAAAAACATAAAATTCAATTATGTTTAGATCCAAAGCCGAAACAGTTAGCTCCCAGAAGTAGCATAGGATCCCACTTCTGGTACAGATCAGGCACAGACTGATAAAACAATGATTTTAAGG